TATCGGAGAGTTCGATTCAGTGAGCAGTTGCTAGGCGCTATGAGTAGCACGAACTACAGTTTGACTGTTTGAGCAGAAGTATTGGCGCCGAGATCATTATTCAGAAGTGCAATAAGGTAAATTTTAATGTGATATGTAAATTTTATTTCGTTTTAGACAGCATAACAATATTTATAAGCGAACAAGATGCACGCCACGCATATCGGCATATGTAAATACGCGTATCTTGATTTAACCATGAATTTTTATTTACACAACAAATTTGCATATTTGTGCGGTTGAAGGACCGTCAGAACTCAGGAGGCTATTAATATTGAGGATAACCGATATAAATGCATTAATACAGCATACATAGGATCTAAAGGTCAGGTTTTATTGATGAATGTTCAAACTTTAATATTGATATATGTTTATTTGAGTAATATGACACTGTAGTGATTACTAGTCAAGTGATCAATGACTCAACAAGGCTATTAGGCAACATAAATGAGTGTAATACCATCATGAGTTAGTTAAACATAATACTAGCAATCCGTAATTTGATAAAATGAAACATCTTCCACACTTATCACATTTCTGCAAGTACTTCTCTTTTAAATTTCCCTAAGGAGCGAGTTGTGAGAGTCAGTGAGACTGATAATTGCTATAATTATCTCCCAATTCATGAGGTTAATTTTGTGTTGAAGCTGCTTTCAGAGTGCTGCAAATGGCGTTTCTGAGGTTTAAATATAAAAAATTTGCTGTGGACAGACACCCTGGGGGACAGACCCCCCCCCCCCTAGGTGCCTCGCGCATTTACCGCTCGCAAAACTAGATTGAACATCTGAAAACTTTGACTAACGTACGAAAAATCCTGGATCCGCCCCTGTCCGGTGTGTGTGGGCCTTTAGCATTAACTTCCTTGTAATTTTACAGAGATATCGCTAGAACTGAGGATTTTACAAGGCGTTATCTGTACCTTCTCAAAGTTGCAGACAAGATATGTCGTTTACTTCGAACACGCATAAGATTACATAACTCAAAATGATTCGAGCAAAACGGTCTTTTGTTAAAAGGAAGACTTGTTAATAGAAATTGGTCGTTTTGGGTCATGTAATTGTGTGTCATCGATCCGTGTCGTTGAACAATGAAAAATATTGTCGTGAAATTAGCGTAGATAAAATAGCAGTTTGTGAGGAAAATGTTGGTCTACGGAGTGGGAACTTTTCGGATTTGAACTCTGCGTGCTTGAACGTGTTAGTTCCAGTAAAAATATTTCAGTTCCAAGACATGCTATATGAAAGTGAACGATATCGGGACGCAGCAAACGGCCAACGTTGTTTTACTTCCGGGCATGATTACATCATGAACCCGCTTAAACTAAACATTAATGATCAAGCTAGAAGTATGAAAAGAAATAGTAGTTCTGCTTTGCTTACATTTCGTTGGAACAATGAGATGGTTTTGGCATTCGACACCCAGATCCCACGTGATTAACAATATTATACGGCGATATGTTCTTGTATGGTTCTTCGCCTGAAAATGAAATACTGTATATATCATAATGCTTTAGCAAGTTGAGCATCTTGAATGACTGGAGCGACACCTTGGAATTGCGGCTCAAATTCCTGCTCGCTGCCATTTTACGGACAAGGTACAACAATAGATTTGGAAACGTTTTAATCCGTCGCATATTTGAAAACCATCCTTTGAGAACTGCTGAGAACTTTTGAGAACTTTTTATCTGATTCGTAATGGAAATGTACCAGATAGGGTGTTTTTATCGTTACTTGTTGATCCACAAAAAAAACCCCGCAATACCATTGTTTGACACTAATCGTTTAATGT